GCGAACAGTGAGGAATAATGGGATTGGTAATTGTTTGTTGTGGGTTTTGGCCGTCGTCCGAAGGTTGTTCTTCCTAACGTTTCTCCAGTCTCTGTGCTGTCCTCTGAAGATGCCGGCCACAGAGACTGGTGAAATGTTAGGAAGAACAACCTTCAGAACACGGCCAAAGAGCCCGAAAAACCCACAACAACCATTAGATCCCAGCTGTGAAAGCCTTTGCGAATACATTGGATTGGTAATTCTTCAACGTTTGTAGGATCACAGATGCTTTAAACCCACTTAAATCAAGTGATTGAAGCCTGTCTTACTCTGTGTTGGATCCTGGCATTAATCTTGGTGAACCTACACTGCTCCACTAGAACCAGAATCATCAACAAATCAACAACCTTCTCTCTCTCTCAAGGGAGAAACATGACAAGGAACAAAGGTGAAGAATATTTTAGCTGTGAAGGGCTATTGCCCTGTAGGAGCCAACAGGGGGCTAAGCAAGCAACTTTGCACAATTATTAATATATGCAGCTCTTCTCTCATCCTCTCTGCCCCCCCAAGCACACAAATACACACAGGTACACACACACACACACACACACACACACACACACACACACCAGGAGAGGTCATCATTATGTAATATGATTTCTCATGTTGCTTCAGTTTTATGTACTTTGCAAAGTCCTTAGGGTGGCAAGTTAATTAAACTAAGAATGCTTAATAATATGGATACATTCCAACATTCCAATTCCTGTTTTCTTTCACCCATTAAGCGTACAGTAATCTTACGTGAGTCCTTTGAGGTAGGTTCAGCTGAAAACAGTTTTTGTGTATACTCTAAAACAAGGCACAGAGAAAGTACATTTATTCCAAGGGAACAATCATGTTATATCAACACATAACGTAGTTGTGCGCCACCAAAAGTGTGAAATGTCCTTCAAACTGACCGTGCAATGCTGAATCTGGTTTTGTAATCTTCATTTTAAAAAAAGACCTCACAGCTATGAGTTGGCTTCAGTGCATCATTTAGACATCATTTATGCCAGAAGTCTTACAGCAACAGGCAGAGTTGCCAATGCCTCATCTTACACAGCGTTCCTTTTAATAGCAGCATAGCAAAAATAAGTTTCCTAGCTGCTTCATTTTGGTTTAATGCAACACTGTGACGAGAGACTGCACCCTTTTTCTGCACTGTAGTGGTGGAAGGCAGAGGAGCTCTTGTTGGGTCATTAGTTGGCAACTCTCTCATCACACGATCCAACTGGAATAAGGAAGACGTTGGCACCTGCCTCTGTGCTCTAGTAAGACTTTACAACAGAGTTACAGGTTTTGATATGCCAAAAACAGCAGGGACCATACGGACTGGCCCACTGTGCACAACAGGCTGCTAGGTTATTTCAGAAATATGCTCCACCCTTCAGAGTGCCCCCTCCCCTCATGTTTTGGCAGTACTGGCTCAAAAGAGAAAACCTCAAATATGGCTCTGAATAGCCATCCCAGAGACCTTGACCTTGGAGTGAGTCTTCACATAGCTCCAGAAGTCTCCAGAGATGGAAGACTGACTGCAGCCGGGATCACCAGAGCCAACTCCCTCAGACAGATCAGAGAACAAAGAAGCTGTAAGTCCACTAACTGGCAAACATGGTGAATTTCCATACTGTCAATTGCATTTGTCCGCCACAGTGCAGTGTTTATCATGTTGCCCCATGAACTGGGTTACCCAGGCTGAAGTCTCCACTGAGCCATGGAACTACTAGATGACCTTGGGCCACTCTCTCTTCCTCCTAGTCTGACCTACTTCACAGGGTTGTTGTGGAGAGGGAGAGCCATTCAAATTGTCTTGAGATCAAGAGAGAAAAGGCAGGATAGAAATGTAAATTAGAAATAAACATATTTGGGGAAGCGGGCAGAATAACCTTCCTTCGTTCTCTAAGGTCAAGGCAAGTGACTAAACTCTCTCAGGATAGAAAAGCATTAAATAAGAATTAAATCATAACAATATCAAAGAAAGAATCAGCTTCAAAAAAAAGTCCCCATTATTCTCTGGCCACAAATAGCATTCTGATTTAAAAAAACAGAAACATAATCTCTTGTATTAGCTTCTGGAAATCTCAAATGGAGACTTAGGTGGAGTCTCTGAAGGCAGAGATTTTCCAGAACTGGAAGAGGGGACTGACATCAGATATAACTCCTCCCCTCTCGGTTGAGATGGCCAGAGAGATTGGCATCAATTGCAGTATTCCTTACACCAGCAACATTGCAACATGACGAGTAATCCCTGTTGACAGTCCTTCTTCTAAACAATAGCTAAAGGACTTACCCTTCTTTGGAAGCTGATGTTATGAGTGTCCAGATATATACAACCAGAGAAGGTGCAAGTCCCCCCCACCCCAGAACATAACATTTTAAAAGGTGCAACTATGGCAGAGGAGAAACACCTGTGGTGAAAGCATGCGGTGCATGTGAAGAGTATGTGTCACTTATTGCTAATAATGCCATAGGGAAGATCCAGTCATTGCTTGTGACATTTATATAAACAGGACTGGCCCTACTATTAGGCAATGTGAGGCGGCCACTCCAGGCAGCAGATGGGAGAAGGCAGGAACAGAGGTAAGATGATGGAGGCCGAGAACTACCAGAAAAAACAAAAAACAAAAGTGAGCCATCAGAAGTTTATTGGTAAGTATTTTCGTGCTGTCGTTCTCTCCTAACCCTTAAAAAAGACTAATTCAAGAAGCTGTCATCACTATAACGATAAATGTTTTTCCAACCTAGTACTCTTCGTGACTGCTGCCACCCTAGCCATCCCCAAGTAGTAGAACAATGGCTGTGCAGGAAGGGGATGACGACCATTTCAATCCAAGCCATCAAAAGGGCGCTATGTTGGCAAAAGCTATTGCATCTTTAACACTAAAAATCATCTGCACTCATCTCTCTCTCTCTCTCTCTCTCTCACTCATTCTCTCACTCACTCACACACACACACACACACACACACACATACCTGCCCAAAGCTGCACAGTCTAATAAACACAAAACACAAGTTCAGCAGATAAAAGAACATGAAAGCAAGACTAAGTGACAGAATGTTTTTTTCTATTTTCTTAACATCAAATGCGTTCAGTGACTCCGTCCTGATTCTCAAGTAGCTAAAATGACACCAGTCAAGCACAAGAGGGCAGCATGAGTAGGCCTGGTAAAACCCAAAGATCTGCAAATTTACAACCCACCCACCCCCCAATTAGAACTGGCCCGGTTCCATGGGTATGGAATACTGGCTGGCTGTTGTGCAAAGGGAAGCCCATAACTCAAATGGTGCAGGAGTTGCAGGCATTTGGGGTTGGTAGACAGCAGTGGTGTCGATTCACAGGATCAGCCCTTCCATTTATACTCCCCTTCTTCTGGCTTCAGGCAACTAATGAAGAAGTCTGGGTTTCGAGCTCCTACTTCTAGAGAGGTAGGCAAAAAGAAGCTGCAAAGGGATTCTGGCACTGGGAGGCAGCTACCCAAGAGAATGCCCCCCCCCATTCAATTTGTATGTCTGGGCAAGGAAACTAATCAACCAACAATGCAAGCTTGAGGACAGGGAAGTGGAGACTGTGTGTCACTTATTGCTAAAAATATCATAGGAGAGATCCAGTTGTTCTTGATGACATACAACGAGGGCCAAAATTGATTTTTGTAGACCTATTTGCCAGACTGTCTTAAAGTCTAAACCTGCACTGAATACTTGGCTAGTGTAACATTAGAAATGTCTTTATACAACCAGTATACTTGTATGATGGAATTCGTGTCTATTTTTGCTCTTGAAAGTAGCCACATCTAGAATCAACATCTGATAATTTACTATAGTTTACATCAATTTTCTCTGCAGACCTTTGCTTTATAGCATGTATCATTTTAGATCTGATATATAATCTTTATTTAAGCATTGTTTATTGTAAAATGTCACTGCTGAATATACTATCCTACACCTTTAAAAAAAGAGATAACATAATATCATTAATTAATTTGTTTACATGTTATGTGAGTATCTAGAAAAAGTTTTACCACAGAAGAAAAATAATGTATAGGACAAATATATTGAATTGGTCCTATTTTTATCCAGTACCCTATCTTTGAGGAGTGCTTTTACACAAGGTAAAAGGTAAACCCCCCCCCACAGGTTTCATAGTCAATAATTTTTATGTAGAAAATTGCACATAAGCCCAGATGGACACTGTCACTTGTGATGTTTGCATGCTTATCTGTTTTACTGTATCAATCCTAACGTAACTAAAATTGCATCGGCCACAAACAAGTGAAAAGTATCTGCATCTTTGGGATAAGCTGGAGATTTACAGGAAGGGAGCAGAATTATTGTGGGGGCAACAAAATATTGCCATCCTATGTGGGTTAGAAATGGCTCCTGAGAGATATTATACCTTCTTTTCTGCTCTTGGAGCAAGAAAAACCACCCTTTGTGCAAATGAGGGACGTATTGGCAAGGTTCAAAGAATCTAGAGATTTGCAGAGGTACTGTTTTAGAAAGGGGAGGAGAGACAGAATTCATAACAGCTATCATTCTAAGTACAGAATGCTGATTATCTGTAACAAGAAGGGGAGACAAAAATGAGGGAGTTGAGTGGAATGGTAGAATCCTGAAAAAAATAGCACTTCCCACCGCAACGTTTTGTTGCAGTCCCTATTTATCATGTTTGATACCTGTCTGCCCTTATTCACACATTCTCCTATGCAGAACCTGAAGAAAGCTGTACTTAGCTGCATGGGAAAATGCATATGTTTAGTTACCCAGCAGATGATTGATATAAGGTTCGGCATGTGTAGGTGTGTTCCCAGAAGCTGTATGAAAATGATGGCCAAGTTTTAAAAACTTGAGAAACACTGCCGTATGGGCAAGAATAAAGTAATTTCCTTCAGTGAATGATACGACAGTACAATGTGATCCGTGACTTCAAAGTGTAATTTATCTGGAATTTCTCAAAAACAGAGTGCTCGGCTAGATACTGTTTTGTTTTTCAGAAAGTAATTTATTTACTGCTGACTGACTACCATGTATTAGTCACTTCTCCACAAGTGATTAAAACAATGTACAACAATAAAAAGTAAACAACAAAATGATATTCACAATAACATCCATTCAATGTACAAAAAAACCCACTTCATAAAAGTCAACAGCAGTAGCATCAAAATTTCATGGCACCTTAAACTCTAGTGAAAAAGGTGAGTTTTATTTACTTTTTTTTAAAGCAGTATTCCCCAACTCAGAACCCTCCAGATATTTCAGGAATTCTGAGACTTGTATTTTGACACATCTAGATGGTTCCTATTTGAGAAAGCTATTCTAAGATAAGTAAGGGCGCCTCTAAGGAGAATATTGAAAAGTATGGTGCCCACACAGAAAAAGCCCTGCTTGGCAGCCTCTGCCTCCTTCATTGATGGAATCTAAAGCAAAATCTTACCAGACAATACAGTATTAAATGCTAAGCAGAATTGTATGTGGCAGTATATATATACTCTAATGTATATTTATTCCAAGTTTTTAAGAAAATGCTACATTTCCCCAGCAATTAAATAATTTAAAAGAGGCAGGCAGGGAACAAAACCACTTCATAAGATTAACTATATACATTTCTATGTTTTTTAAAACCATTTTGAAGCAAGAATAGAAGAAGACAAGTATACATATTCAAAACCTCACCATTTTGAACATCACTTAACAATCATGCATCACTCTGATCAAACACCCTCACAATAACAAAAATTGATATGTCAGTGAGGCCAATAACAATAGAGCACAACTACTTCCTTCTCACTGCATTGTATGCCTTTGATTTCTTTTAAAGAAATGATGTTTCCACCCCTCACTTTTGCAGCAGTGTCTTTAGCCATGTGAACAGACAGATGCACAAGTCCCCAGAATAATCTTGAAGCAAAAAAATTAAATTACACAAATAAATGTGTATCCAACTGTCAAGAAGTAGCTTTGGCAAAGTCCCTCCTCTGAAGTATAGCTTCTGAGTGTCACAATTCAGGAAAGATGCGGATGGATCAATCGGAAAGGATTCAGAGGAGAGCTGCGAGGATGACAAAGGTGTAGAAGACAAAGGCTGGAGGAAACCTGCCTATTGTGCTCAGAGGGAAGATTAAAGGGGAGAAAATCTGCTGAGAGTTTCTGAGTATTGGGGAAAGCAGCATGCAGAAGCGAAAGCACTGTTCTCACAGGATCCACTGAGAACAGGGCTCAAAACAACAGGCCCACGATGTGGCCCAGCGGACTGGATGCTGAATCTTGCAGGCCCGACTACTATGGCCTTTACAGTATGGCCTTGGGCAAGTCACTCTCTGCCAGACTCAGTTCCCCATCTGTAAAACGAGAACAGCAATGATCTTGTTGGGTGGGTAAATACATAGCTGGTCAAGTGTTCCCCCCCCAAAAAAAAATTTTAAACAGCTCTACATCATCCCTGCATCCCACCCAACATCCTCTTTGTCCTTTGGCCTCATGCACCCACCGCATTAAAGACAGGAATATTACTGCAGGAGGGAGCCGAACGGGGGCGTGGGAGGAACAGAACGCAGGCGCTTAGCTGAAGAGGGGAGAAAAATGGAAAGTATGGGTGAATGATAAATGTAGGAGGGACTGTAGTAAAGCAGGAAGGTGGGGCTAAGGTAAGAATCAAGATAGGGCAAAGGACTGGACCCCCTCTCCCCAAATACCTAGCCACAAGTCTGAAATTTCACAAGGCTTCAACTAGTGTGTTTATGTGATTTATGTCTGTCTGTGGTTACATATGTAGCTAAATAGAAATACAAATGTATGCTGCAGACACACATACACACACACACACACACACACACACACTCTACATTCATTAATGTCAGAAAAATGTAATAAAAATATCACATGTGAAACAGCAAAACTAAGTAAGCAATGGAACTAGCTGACTAGAGATTTAATTATTTTGATTATTTAAATTTAAAAATTCATAATTTTAATCAATTTGATTTTTTTATTAAATCTTTGATTTTTATCTACCTTCTTTGGTAGTATATCAAGGATGGGAAAGTGTCAGCTCTCCGGATGATAACGAAGAGCTTAACCACTCCCATTACATTTCCCAATTGGACAGGATGGTCGGGGCTCAATCCAACAACATCTGGGGGGCCACACACACACACACACACACACATACACAACATTCATTAATGTCAGAAAAATGTAGAAAAAATATCACATGTGAAACAGCAAAACTAAGTAAGCAATGGAACTAGCTGACTAGAGATTTAATTATTTTGATTATTTAAATTTAAAAATTCATAATTTTAATCAATTTGATTTTTTTATTAAATCTTTGATTTTTATCTACCTTCTTTGGTAGTATATCAAGGATGGGAAAGTGTCAGCTCTCCGGATGATAACGAAGAGCTTAACCACTCCCATTACATTTCCCAATTGGACAGGATGGTCGGGGCTCAATCCAACAACATCTGGGGGGCCACAGGTTCTCCGCCCCATTGCAAGTATTTCACTAACACTGTAGTATTAAGACATGGTAATACTGTAAGTGCTGTACTGAAAACCAGCGTAAAAGAGATTCTGATGATTCAGAGCGATACAGCTGCAGCAAAAATGCTGAAGAAAGGGTCTAGGTACCTGCCCACACTATAGAATTATACAGATTTCATCCTTCATCCCTCTTCCCAGAGTTATCTGGGAATTATAGTTCAAGGGAGTGCAGGGCAGTACAGTATAATTTCTCTTACTGGAAAATTCCAAGTACCATACCACATTACAAATCACAGGACTGTGTAGGATGGATCTATGACAGCTAAAGTGACACCAAACTGATACAACTGTGAAATACAGGTACACCTTTGGATTGTTATGTGTGACAACCTACCTTGTGCCAAATATCAGGCCCTCCTGCTGTCCTTTAAATCGGCAGTCCAGGTGGGAGAAACAGGCATCTGTGTGGCTCTTCCTACCCCTTATTTCCCATCGCCTGCCCCCTCCTGTTCTTGCAACAGTGAGCATGTTGCCTGGCACACGGCACAACCTACATGAGCATGAGTAGGAAAGTGGACACAATGGACAAGACCGCCTCTCATTCCAGCTGGAATTTTTAAAAAACAACTTCTATTGTCTGAGAAGAGGATACCTACAGCTGACTGTAACTTCAGGCAATGCCCAAGGCTGCCACCTCTCTACAACCATTTCTCTGCATGCCTTCCTAGCTCACTTAACAATGGTCATTCCATGTGCAGAACTATCAAGCTGGCCAGAAATGTGGACGTCTGTGAGGAATAATGCAATGTGCCAAAATGCTTCCAGTCCTTTCTAAAATGGCATGTCTGAAGGGGGCTTATATGATTACATTGCTTTTAATGCTTATACAAAATGGCAATTCTAGGACAAGAGTTTGTTGGTATGCTTCCCTGCTTCAGAGGTTGCTTTTTTCAAAAAAAAAAAAAATGTGTTTATAAGACAGCCAGCACATAGTTTAGAATGTCCTCGTCTATTAATTCCCTCAGTTTTAAAGTACACGAAGCTTTGCAAGTGAGCGGCAAACTATAACATCGTTACTTAGCAACCTCAGCTAGCTTTGGAAATGAAGTAAGTGGCTGGTGGATAAATAGCGTGGTATTCATGTGTATCCCTAGCACATGTATGTAGAAAATAGCCATGTGTGTAGTTCATGAGAAGTGCTTGTAGTCCATTTCTTGCATAACTCTATTGGCTGCAACCCACCTGGAAGTCCTTTTGTGTAAACCGTATTGCAACAAATGAGAGCTGCACGGAAGATGCCCATGATAGATTGCACCCGTTATGCAAGAACATAAGCTGTGCATTTTGGAGAGAGAAAGATGAGCGAAGTATGGCATTTATAGCCTATTATGCAGACAATGTATGTGGGTGTGGAACTGAATACAGTGTGAATGGCACAACAATATTACTAGACTTGCCATCGAAGCCCACAAACAAATTTGCTAGCCTACAGACAATTTTTAGTAGCCTGCCAAGCCAAACGTAATTATGTTCCCTCTCTGTGACACCCGTGAGGAAGAAGTGGAATAGCTTTTCTTCTGTGTATCAACATTCTGCCTGCCCATCCACTTGGAGACCATTCTTGTTTGCCACAGGGACAAGATGTGGGAAAACTTAGGCAAAAATGTTATGACATATTTTTACCCATAAGTTCATAAGTGGTCATCAAAAAAAAAAATCCTTATCGTATATGGTACAATGCCATACATGAACAAGCTCTTAATGGGGAGGACGGTTGTCTGAATTGACCATCTAAGAATAAATGTTTATGTTAATTTCCTATAGGGAAACATAGCCGCATTTCTTCTATGGTTCCTCTTTCTTATAACTCTGCTCCTGTGTGCTTAAAACAAGTTACAATTCTGCTCAGTTTTTCCAGCTCTTGCCCTGGAAAATTCTGGTGGCAGGTAGTTGGTAATAGGGGAAGGGTGAATCAGCAGAAAGCCTCTTTGTAGCCCTGATCTAGCACAGAAGCATGCTGCATCTGTTTCTTCAAAAATAAAAGTTAACAAGATAAGCACGCTTGTTTAAAATATCTGACTAATGTCACACCTGATTAATTGCCCTTAGCCACTTTGCTTTGTTGTCTTTTTTTTTTTAAATCCTTATTTTCAGAATTGCTCCACTAAGCAAATACAAAATTCTGTAGTGTTCAAAACATGTGGAGGCATGACAAAATGTTTGGGATTATGCTCCTGGGTCATATAAAAGCTCTATTACAAACAGATGTATTTTAATTGTTATAGCAACCAATTAGTATGAATGCTTGCACAGGAAATACAGAACTTAAGAAGTTTGAAGCTTGATTTAGATAAATGATTTTTCTGGGTAATTTAAATCAATCCACTCCACAGGGTATAAGTCAGCACACCCAGAAGGGGGTTGGAAGTAAAAGAATGAACATTTAGCAGGACAGAGGATCTCAGAGAATGATTCTGCCCACAGCTTCTTCCAACCCAGCTGTTCAGATATGCTGGACTACAACACCCATCACCCCCTGCCAGAACACAGTAGTCATCCAACACAACTGAAAAATACCAGTTTGGGGAGGGTTAGCCTATGGGTATCACCAGGGGCATAGAGGGATCAAATTGTGCCCAAAATTTAGCTTTCCCAGTGCCAATAGAGGACTGGATGAGGGCAAACATATTCAAGTCTTCTTTGGAGAAGACAGAGGTGCTCCTGGGCAGTTGGAAAGCAGATCATGAAATAGTAATCTGTAGGGTTATCCTCCCCTGAGGACTCAGGCTTTGCAGTTTGGGTGTACTTCTGGATCCAACCTTGAATCTAGTTGCCCAGGTTACTAGTGTCACAGTTTAGGATAGGGAGTCAATGGCATCTACTCCAATTATTAGTATTTGGCATGTTTTTATGGAATGTGTGCAGGAACCATCTTAGTTTAATTCAAAGATGAACCAAGGGCCTCCAGATGTTTCTGGATCTCAACTCCCAGCATTCCTCACTATTCGCCCTACAGATTGGGCAGTTTGAGCCAAAAACATCTGGAGGGCCAGGCTTTGCCCACGCTGTGTTGGTAACATCTCATCTGGATTACTAGATTACATTGTATGTGAGGCTGTCTTCAAAAAGTGCTTCGAAAATTGCTCTGAAACATCAGCTGGTCCAAAATGCTGCAGCCATACTATTGACTGGGGCCCGTTACTAGAAACACAGCATTCCCATATTATGACATCTCCACTAAAGTGATGATCATGAAGTTATAAAGCTTTTTATGGTAGGGTTAAAAAAAGACAGTGTGGCACCATAAAGACTAACTGCTGTAGTGTAGTTCCTCACCTGCCATTTCCCCATCTTTTCAGGGATAGAGGCAGGATACGAACAGAATTGGCATTACTGCACTAAATACGCATGGGAGCAATTATTATAATTTAGCATGTTTTTATGGAATGGGTGCAGGAACCAAAGGCATCACAAGTACAGTATTAATCTTTCCCCCTTCTTCCTTTTCAGCACAGCTGAATGCTTCAGATCTACCTGTGCAGTAGGTAGGGTCAGAGAGACCCAGATGCATCAACTGCTCTGGGATGGTACCCAACATTGGCATTGATACAGCTAAGGAAATAACAGGCCTCAAAAATGACAATGCTTTGGGAGGTTTCTAGGGCACAGCAAACCCCCTGGATGCTGTTTTCCTAGCACATAGGTATTTTAAGGAAAGTTTAGGTTTAGGTAATTTTTTTAGAATTTAGTGATGAGCAGAGCAAGTCTATGGGAGAGAGAAAGAAAAACCATCACTTCCTATCCCCTGCTAGGCTTGCACCAGCAGAAAGGCATGAGTACTGTCTTCCCTTTTTCC